TATAAACACCTCAAATGTGTACTGAAGTTTTGGGGTAAAGATTGAAAACCATACCTTGTCATTGTGGTTGCATACAACCCTCTTGATGCAACTTTCCAGCAATTCCTGGAGCAGCTTTTGAAAACTGACCATTGTCTAGAAAATCTCCCAACTCCTGCCCCATACCTCATGCTACTGGGAGATTTCAATGTGAGACACCTAAAATGGAGGAGTGTAGCAAATAATATTGTAGCAGAGATCACCCCAGGAGGCAGCTCAGATGAAAATTCACACACACATGAGCTATTAAATCTCTGCACCAAATTCACCCTAAACCAGCAAATACTAAAGCCTACAAGACTAGAAAATACACTGGACCTCATCTTCACTAACAATGACGATCTGATAAGTAATATAACCGTATTAATGACAATACACTCAGATCACAACATAATAGGGGTACAGACATGTATGAACAGGGCTCCTGACCAGCAAAATGTGATCAGTCATGAGGGTGCCTTCACAAAATTCAACTTCAATAAAAATAAATGGTATCAAATACCGACACAGTGGAAATATAAACACATATGCAGTATAATGTGATCCTTTATTGACAACGTTTCACCCACACAGTGGGCTTTTTCAAGTCACACACAGATCTGTGTGTGACTTGAAAAAGCCCACTGTGTGGGTGAAACGTTGTCAATAAAGGATCACATTATACTGCATATGTGTTTATATTTCTCAACTTCAATAACAAAAACATACAATGGGAACAAGTCAACCATGTCCTAAATGAAACAAGCTGGGAAGATATCCTTAACATCACGGATCCGAACCTTTGCCTAGAAAAAATAAACTCTGTGGTTCTTGAGATCTGCTCAAGGCACATTCCATTAAGAAAAAGAAAGAGAAGATGTAAACTAGAAAGAGACACACACTCCCTATACAGACGAAGGCAAAGAGTCACAGAGCTGTTGAGAGGGGCCATTATAACTGAAATACAAAGGGAGGCACTTGTCAATGAAATTGCAAATATCGAACTTAAGCTGAAGGAATCCTACAGGAGACAAGAATTACAGGAAGAACTAAAAGCCATAAAGGAAACTGAAAAAAACTACTACTTCTCTTATGCCAAATCTAAGGAAAAAACAACATCCAGTATTGGGCCCCTGCTTGGGCGAGATGGGACATACACGGAATACAGCCAAGAAATGAGTGAGATACTAAAGTCCCAATGCGACTCGGTGTTCAGCGAGCCACTACCCAAACTAAGGGTCGACAATCCAAATGAATTCTTTATGAACGAGACCCAAAATTTGGTCATCTCAAAAATCTCGGATATTATCCTAACACCACAAGACTCTGAAAAGGCAATAAATGACATGCCCACTCTCCCTCAGGCCCCAATTCATGGAACTCCATGTTCATCAAGAACTGCAAGAAGCCCCTGTTGCGTGCCTTCAGCATTCTATGGAGAGGGAGCATGGACAAAGGAGTCATTCCACACTCACTAAAAACAACAGACATAGCCCCACTCTACAAAGGTGGCAATAAAGCAATTGCAAAAAACTACAGACCAATAGCACTAACATCCCATATCATAAATATCTTTGAAAGGGTTCTAGATACCCATCAGTTACACGACCCAGGGTAACACAGGTTTAGAGCAGGTTGCTCCTGCCTGTCCCAGCTACTGGACCACTATGACAAGGTCCTGGGTGCTGTAGAGGATAAACAAACTACAGATGTAGTATACACAGACTTTGCAAAAGCTTTCAACAAGTGTAACCATGGTGTAATAGTGCACAAAATGTGTGATAAAGGAATAAGCAGAAAAGCTGGTAGATGGATCTATAACTTCCGGACAAACAGAACACAAAGAGTAGTAGTAAATAGAGTAAAGTCTGAGGCAGCTACGGTGAAAAGCTCTGTTCCACAAGGCACAATACTCACTCCCATTCTATTCCTCATCCTCATATCTGACACAACCAAAGATATAGGCCATAACTCCGTGCCTTCCTTTGTAGATGACACCCGAACTGCCATGACAGTGACCTCCATCGAAGACATTGCAAGACTCCAAGCAGACATCACCAAATCTTCAAATGGGCCCCTCACACTAAAGGGGGGAGTTTTGTCCCACAGTTGCTCTTGCTGATGCACTGTGCTCTTGGGAGATTCTGAAGAGAAGTTGCAGAGAATGGTTGGATGAATTTGGGTAGGTGTGCAAAGAAGAAAATGTAAAAGTGAATACAGGAAAGAGTAAGGTTATGAGATAACAAAAGATAGGTGATGAAAGATTGGATATCAGATTGGAGGGAGAGAGTATGGAGGAGGTGAATGTATTCAGATAATTTAGGGAGTGGACCGTGACAGCGGAATTGGGTCTATGAAAGATGAGGGTAATCATAGAATTGATGAGGGGAAAAGGGTGAGTGGTGCACTTAGGAGTCTGTGGAGACAAAAGAACTTTTGTCCTTGGAGGCAAAGAGAGGAATGTATGAAGTATAGTTTTATCCAATCTCTTATATGGTGTGAAGCATGGGTGATGAAATGTTGGCAGCGAGGAGAAGGCTGGAGGCAGTGGAGATGTCCATTTCCTGAGGTCAAAGTGTGGTGTGAATATAATGCAGAGAATTCGAAGTTTGGAAGTTAGTAGGAGTGCGGGATACCAAAACCTGTTGTCCCCAGAGGGCTGAGAAGGTTGTATGAGGGGTTCGACATGAAGAAGAATGGAGCAAAACGAGTGACTCATGAGTTTATCAGGTCTGTAGTGGAAGGAAGGCGGGTAGGGCGGCCTAGGAAAGATGGAGGAGGGGGTAAGGAGGTTTTGTGTGCAGTGGCTTTGGACTTCCAGCAGAGCACGCGTGAGTATGTTTATAGGAGTGAATGGAGACAAATGTTTTTTTAATACTTGACGTCTGTTTGGAGTGTGAGCAAAGTAACATTATGAAGGGTCAGGGAAACCCGGCAGCCGAAAACTTGAGGCCGTAGATGACGTACAGTGCCTGCACTCTGAAGGAGGGGTGTATGTGCAGTTTAAAAACTGTGTGTAAAGCACCTTCTGGCAAGACAGTGATGGAGTGATGATGGTAAAGTTTTTCTTTTCGGGCCACCCTGCCTTGTGGGAATCGGCCAGTGTGATAATAAAAATAAATAACATCTTTCCTATGGTTAGTGTACTTGTAAGTGGTCCAAGTTGGACTGAAGCATCATCAAAATATCCTCTCTCCTATGTGCAGGTTATGATTTTGAGAACCAGTCTTAATTCAGCAAATTAAATGATTTGAAAATAATTATACCCATATATTTTATTTACACATGTGCACACACATCAGTCTGCACATATGGACAGGGTTGAAAGCTTTAATACATTTTTGTTTGACCTATTCTGAACCATGTTGCAAATCTAAGACAGGAGTTGCAAGTCATCCTAGTAGTTTTTCATGTCTTAGCATGAAAACAGGACTTATATTTGTGATTGTAATTGATTATCAATAGTTACAT